GTAGCACAGCCAATCGAAGGGCGCGCAATGTAGGATAGTCCATTGTGCTCGGGCTACGGTCGAACCAGAACAAATCGTTTCGGAATTTACATACAGCGTGCGATTTCATTACTCGCGTCAACACATCGCTACACTTGTGTCCACGAAATGGGCAAAATGCTTCGAATAGTCATTCACTTGTTAATTGTTCGATTGTGGAGTCAGTTCTGTCTTTGCAGTCCATTCCTTTGTGAGTTTGGATGAAACATAAATTAACCGGCGTAACATGCCAGGGGTTGAAGCGATCACCCAACGAACTAGAAAGATAACTAAACTTCTTTTGTTCATCCGTGTTAGCAATAATATGCAATCCCAATGAGGACCATGGATAGCGTTCTCTCAAACTCATTGATTCTCACGAAAAGAGTTTGATCATTTGGTAGTCTGCAAAAATGCACCGACACTTTGACCGAATTTTTAAAATCTGTAACAATGATTCAGTATATCGATAAATCAAATATGCGTCTATCGCCATTCGCAGTCAAAAAAGAAATTGATTGAAAAGAGTGGAGTCACCTGGCGAGAGCCTAAAAGTTATCCGATTCCTGACAATTGGAGTGGCCTTTCTGTCAAACGTTTTCATGACGAACGAACCCTTCTTAATGTATTCACTTTTTAATCTAAAGATCTTGTGTGGGCATTTAAATGCCAATAGAAAAATAGAATAACAACGCTGAAACAGGCAAGCCAACCACTGCTTCTGAAGCAAGTGAATTCCCAAAAATAAATAGTATTCGGAATGATTGCATCCGGTGGCGAAGTTTGATTGCAGCCTTCAGATCTTCTACCATTTGCTGCATATCTCCCATCGACGACCGTTAATTTCGCATTTGAATGTGTTTACGCCAAAGTGTTGGCATTGCGCAGGAATACATCCGCGAATTAAAAATAATATCCAGCCACAGAGACTAACCTTCTTGTTGACTCACATATCGCAATTAATCGCTTACCGATACCGTGGATGTTCAGCAAGACAGTGCTTTCGCAGTTTCGGAAACAAGTTGACATTGTGGTTGTTATAGTTCCACAAGGCAAAGGTTGCTCGCGGAAATATGAACTCTGACAACATTTCCTGGCGCGCGCGGGGCTGTACATGAACAGGAAGTTGAGCAGACGCATCTGACAACCATGAAAAAGGTGTCATTAATTGTCATACGACTGGTTATTTGATGTGAATTTCTTCAGGACAGGTAATTTCGACGTAACTGGCCAGATTTGATCATTTGGATTGTCCAACAGGTCAATAACAACGTCTAATTGGTGAATATCACTTTTCCCTGGCAGTAGAGGTTTGTGTAACAAAAGTTCACCCATTGTGCATCCGGCTGACCATATGTTAGATTGCTTTGGTCTTATTTTTGTCGCGCAACTCCACCTTCGGAGCACGGTGCCAGAATGTTACGACACATAGAGTCATCGCGTTGTGTGAGTGAGTCGGTCTGGACAGCCCGAAATTGGCTAATTTTACGAGGCCTTTATCGGTCATAAGAAGACTGAAAACCTTCATGTCACGATGAATGATGAAGTTCTCATGCAGATAACGCAGCACCTTAAACAGTTGCAACATACACACATACACCTGATCTGCAACTCCGTAAAAGGATTTGGCCTAAGAGCCTAGCCATGTCTTGTTCACAGTATTCCATGACCAAAAAGATACTGTCTGGTGCTCTTCCCATAATAACTTGACGTGGGTGCACTATATTTGGGTGCTTCAAACTGAGAAACAGTGTAATTTCACGCAAAATGCCGATAGGAATACCGTCTCTAACATTTTCCAGTCGAACCTTTTTCAACGCAACAACCTCCTTTGATGCAACATCTTTAGCCCTCTGAACGATGCCATAGATGCCTTCACCAATTCAATCGAGTTTCTCAAACTCAGACACACTACAAAATCTTTCGTCCCTGTATTCATGAGGTATCAAGAAATACCATAGACGTCTAACACTAAAACCAAGAAAATGATCCTATTGAACTAGAATCCAGTTAAAACTGATGGAATCGAATTGTTTCTGATCGCATGATCGCGTATTTTGAGAATTGCAACGTTTTATGGCCACCTCAAATAGGGGAAATCGAAGAAAACAGGCACTTACCATCGGCCTGTTACCTACCTGCACGAGATGAGTGAACAAGAACAATCGATCCAGAAGACTTTTGCTACATTGCTGACTGAGTGATTCATCTAATACTGCTACAAAAGCTACACAAATGAGATTTTTAGGGATAACTCCTTCATTGGTTTGAGTAATTTGTTTGAGAGTGTACCTTATCCGTTCCAGTTAGTTGTTTTCTATCAGAATCGATTGCCGCAATCCGTGAGGTTCCATGGGGTTCTATACGTTGTGTCCATCAGGCGTTCTTTGGGAGCAAGCCTTAGTAGTCACTGACGGCTCAGTGATTCACCAACAATAATGACACCGAATTTAACACCACTAAATGGTAGGTTATAGCAGTGCACTAAATGAGTTGCTTTCCATACGTACTAAGAAGTCAGTCATTACTGCTTACCATAAATGAAAATGATTTGAGAGTTATTTTTTCGAGAGAACCTAGGATGTTTTATACATTGTATTAGGGAATTATTGTACTGCGGTTTGTCTGGCACACAGTTTGGACTCAAACGTGTGTGAACTACAAACAATGGGGAGTCAACAATGACTGAAAAAGCAAGTGTGATTAAAGAAATGTGTATTGAGTAGCCTGAAACAGATATATTTCCATGTTTACTGTCAGAATATATGCAATCCCACACCGAGTAGTCCATCCACATTTGAAATCTATGGGTATATAGAACATCCTCAGAGAGTAAAAACCGAAATGGTTAAAGGGCGAAACTTCAAGACCTATCTTGAAAGTCTGTAAATACTGGGACTCTATCTCGATGCAATCGAGTTTGTACATATATATATATATATATATGATCCACGTATGGAATACTGTCCCAGCTTAACCGCTCACGTAGTACTCCACCGACACCAGCCAGAAATGATCAGCTCCCGGGGGAATTCTTTCAAACTTGTTCTATAAGAGTGAACAAGATTGCTGGCCTTATTCTTTCGGTATCAGAAAATAACTTGGAATACTCTTGTATCCCGAATTTCTTTGTGCTTTAACCTTCGATTGGATCAAGTTGTAGTTCGATGATGCATGGGAACAACAAACTGTTCAACACCAGTGAGCCAAGGTGATTATTATGTAATAATTTTATTGGCAATAACATCCGAACCTAGTGTGTAATAATCCCATGGGATTCTATTAGCTTCAGCATTATAGTTTACCGCCAAGAAAAATATGAGTTTGACCAGCTGATGCAAATACTATATCATGAACAAGTTTTAAACAAATGAATCTCCGATCAATAAAGGGTGACTCAAATATGATTTGTAGGCTTCAGTATAGCTATCGATCGAACAGTCGGAGAGAAAACACCATTTTTGTCTTTTGTTACAAGTCGAGTCAATCCCTAGATGACCTGGTGATAACATTCATGAATTTGAAATTCCCAGATAACAAAGTAACATATTTCAAGATTACAAAGCATTGATCGTGGCTCTGGTTACCTTGTGTTGAACATTTGTCCGAGAACCATGGATACACGCTGTTTACAGTTAAATATCATGGAGGATACACCGGCTGATGCCAGAAGCGTTGGCTTTATATACCAAGAACGCTGCTTAAGAAGTTAAGATGGAGTGATAAACATTTTAGAGAAGCGTAGAAGTCGTGTCCTCCGGAACCATTGGATCACGCCTAATAACACCTTGGATTAAGGTAGAGTTTAATGAAATCAGTGAACCAGAGTATACAAGTGTTCGAATACACAGACTATTTTTGTGTATTGAAACAAACAAGTACCATTTTGTATTGCTTCCATACTCAATCAGAAGAGTATTTGAATGTTTTATAATCCATTATAGAAAGAACGCATAAAGTTCCAGGGAATAGCAACTAAAATCAAACATCATTGAGGAAAATTTTAAAAAAATCAGTCTGCTAACCCAAGATTATCGGCCTGGTAAACGTATCCTTTTAGGCATTTTTCTTGCATAGTCTAGACAAATTGGCAACAACCTGGGTGGGTGTATTATTTGTATATTGTTGTCCCTCAAACTCCGCATGTTAATTCATTTTAGACACCAGCAAATCTGATCTGTGGTTGTCAGCCAGCAGCACGAGATAATTGTACGCGGATGATCTGAAGATTTGGAGACCCATCCAGTCAGAGAGTGACGTGAACACCCTGCAGAGAGACCTGGACTCTTTGATGCACTGGTCGCGAGTGTGGGATTTACCCATCAATCCTACAAAATGTCATTACATGTCCATTGGCCGGCAGCCCAGTCCAAGAGTGTACCACCTTATGGACACTCCCTTATTGGCGTCCGCATGC